CCTGGATAAATTAAACATGAGCTACGCAGAGTGATAATCTGTGGGCCTCTCTTTTCACACTGCATTCCCAATGAGCTGTGTGTTGGCCTGGTGGTGTTGCCTGTGATTTTAATGAAGATTATTCTTGTAACACGACAGTCGCCTGTTTGCTCCTATTGTGCCCCAAAATATTTGTCTTCAACCGGAGAATTTTGTTTATTTTTTGAAGACATCTGTGTAGCATTTGTATTTTATTTGAAAAAGTATTTCGGTATATCACCCGTTAGATATAATGAAGAATATTTATGTAACACATTTTGTTGATCTATCAGATAACAGGTTTCTAAGTTGTTGTTTATAGATAATTCATCATCATGACAAGCTAGTTATTGATAAGGAAATTAACTGGCAGACACAGCAGTGACGGGGTCCTTATTTTCATCCTGTTTAAGCAATGCAGTTTAGCATAAAAGCTAAGCTTCAGTCACTGGATTTGCAGTTTTCTTTCTTTTTTTTGACATATCAGTGTTCAGCTTTAGGCTGATAGTGCTCGAATGAAAACCTCAGAGGATTCTCAAAGGAGTAAGTGCACACTTCATGGCATGGCCATACTCTTAAAATGGAACTGATGTTTTATAAATAATTTCAACGTTACAAACATCAGCCTCACAATCACAGCGATTCAATGATATTCATTTGGCATAAGTCAGTTTCATTTCGGTGTGCTTTTCATCAGAAATGCCTTAAAAAGTAGAGTTAGTCTGAATTTTTCATGCCTTGGGCTTTCTGGGGACAGGGGCCATGTTCTTCACTTGCAGACGTCTGACAGTGCATGGCAGCATAAATAACAAAATGGTCACAAACCACAACTGCACTCCCCGGGTCACACAGGCTCTTTAAAATGTAAAGAGACTAGCAACAAACCAAACAGTTGATAACGGGTCACTCGCAGGTGATAAAAGAAGTTTTCGTAGTGACATTAGCCCTTCCACTAACTTTGTGATTCCTGACATTATATCCTCACCCTTTGTTAAGCATAATATTACACATCAGAGAGCATGAGATTTGGCACTGCTCTCTCAGGGTGTGCAGCACCCAGAGGATTATTATATTTCACAAGTGTCATTTGCTACAAAATAGGTATGAAATAAAATTCACACATTTATAATTATGCATTAATTTTCCCGTCATCTCCAGTCTATTTTTCCAAAGGGGGGGTCTCAATTGAGCGCTGACTTGAGAGCTCATGGTGCATTCTTTCATAAAGAGTAGACTATTATTTCCATAGGAGTGTTAATTGCCACACTGTCACTGTCTGGTTATGTTAATAAACGACTAACAAAAATAAAGACAGAAGATAAAAATAACTAACAACAAAATCTGCTTTATCCTTTATCTTAATCAAGAGATAAACACATGTGGTGCAGGAATATTGAAAAGCATGCTGATCTTTTACACAAGACTGTGGTTAGAGAATACCGTGCAACTAAAAAATGTACTGAATTTAATTTAAGTAGTGCATTGTCATAAATCAATAAACTGAATTTAATTACCTGAAATATTACAGTTTGAGTATTATTCTTTCATTTTTATTTTTGTAAAGCTTGATTTGCATAGAATACACGGTGAACTGATCAGTAAGAAACTAAGTGGTATAGCTAAATACATCAACAATAGAGAGATCAATCATTTTATTAAAATAGAATCTGTTATCTTGCATTGTTCTCTGTTCCAGACAAATCAGCAAATGTATAAATATTTGTTTTGGGTGAATAATCTCTAGAGAGCAGGCTCAGGTATTAGCACAGGAGCCACGTCACTTGTGCTTCCAGTGAACATCACGATCACCTGTCCTGAGGTTAATTTGCTGTGAGCTTTGTGGTAAGGAATCACGGTTGGGTCCGGACATCAATAATGAGCAGGTGTAGGAGTGCACTTCTGCGTAGACGCGTGTCTTGTTGTGTCCAGGGAGGACAGATAATAAGGGTTTAAAAGCCACAAATGTCCACTCCGCCCCTTAGCAGGCCTCCAGCTGTCTTTCCTGTCAAAGAGCACCCTGATTCCCTCTGACAGAGCAGATCACTGATGGCAGGAAACCACAGGGGGCAATAGTTCTGTTAGCAAAACACAAAGCACCCCCACACTTGATCAGATTGGTCATGCTAGGTAATTAAAAAACTAAGGTAAATACAGCTATTGCCTTTTCTCCTAAAAAATCTAAGAGCCTTGAAGAAAGGAAGTAATACTTCACTTTGATTTATTGATGGAAATTGCAATGTGACGTCTGGCAAACAACATATAAATAACTTAAAGGCCATCTTAAATGCATTCCCATTAAATTTTTAGTGCCGCTGTAATATAAGCCACTACCTGTCATGAATCCCAAATAACCTTGGCTCTATCCTCTTAGTTCAGCCCAGTGTGCCTCATTCCTTATTACTGGCCTGACAAGGAAATGTTTACCCATCCGACAAGAGACAAGCCATTTCATAGTCGGAAAAAGCAATTTCACCTGACTGGAGTAGCACACTATGTCCCCATATCCTTGCTGGCTATAATTTTGTTGTCATTTTGTGTGCTGTGATCATATCATTGAAGTGACAGTGCTGGGCATTAGGTAAAGTCCCTGAGCCGGTGCTCACTTTCAGGCTTTTTCTCTCCTTGTCATTCACATTGATTAGATTAGACCCAGGTGGCAAGCAGATTTTTTTGGCACAACAATAAAAAATGGTGATACAGCGGCCTGAAAAAAACCCAACACACGCTGTGTTATGCTCAACTGGACATTGTTAACTGATTTTATTTAAAAAGAGCCTTTTTTTGTATCTTTTGAGAGTTATTTCTAATGATCTTTCAAATTGTTTTGTTGCAATTGTGTTTCGGCTTTAGTATTATACCCTATTTGCATTAACAAATCGAAAATGTGGACATGGATTATGAGAATTAAAGTTAAAAGGTGATTTTAGAGTAGATAAAGCATAAATACTGTACATAGGGACCCAGTGAATTAAGCTCAGCTGGTCAATGGAGGGGTTGGTACAAGGCAGGGGGAAGAGATCCTAATCTGCACTATGCCATCTTCCCCAGGGACAAGGCTGGCCACCAGCATAACAAATCAGCCCCCCCCCTAACCCTCCCCTTCTTTGGTTATGTCCACTAGCTGGCTGAGCCAATAGAAATACAGAACTTAGTCTGATAAATAGGCACCAGAGCACCTGGGGAGACAAAGTGTGTTGCTGCACGGGTGATTCAACAATTGGTTGGTTCAGGGGGTGGGGTGGGGAGGCAGCCCATTTTGCTTATTAAAGATCAGTGATGGAAGCGAACCATAATCCTGTAATGAGCAGAGCAGAGAGTGGCCTCTTTACGTGGGCACAGACAAGCCTGTGCTTGCATTTTTCACAGGAATAGATTGCTGGACCCTATAGCCCGACTGTAATGACCCCTCTTGTTAGCTTCAGAGATTCATGGCAGTTCCTCAGAGACAAACTCGTGGATGTACCGAGAAATAGACCCTGATTGGTCTTCTTACCATCGTCTGGTCCAGATAGTGCTGTGCAAGTTAATGACACTGCAGTACCAAACCAAAAGTTATTTAGTGAAGGGAAAATAATAAGTTATTGGCCACATCTTCACTACTTTTTATTTAAAGTTTCTGTTTGGTCTACCCCAATTTACACACACGAGAGGAACCTTTTAATAGAATGCAATTGAATACAACCACATGCAAAACTAACATTGTGTTAAGAGTTCAACACCTGCCTGACTGGCTTTATAAAGGTTATATTGAGTTACTTTATTGTTCAGGTGTACAATGCACTAGAAGTGTAAAAAATCAGGATGAAATGATTATCACCAATTTAAAAAAGGTCTTACAACCATTAAATAAACTCTAAGCACCTCCCCCTGAAAAACTGTTTGTGTAAATAACCATCAAGAAGGCTGCAGCTGTTCTAGGATTTTAGTGTAATATTCATAAATTAATTTAATCCTTATCAACATCCTGACAATAATTCATTAAATGACGTGAGGTCTTCAGGTACTTTTGGAAAGATGATATTAAAAATGTTTTGTTTTGCTTTGCGCTCTTTTATTTTCATTTCGATGTTAGACATACTTTAATAAAACAAATGACAAGTTATCTTAGAGATGTGCATTCTGCTGACATTTAATTAATCCTTTCAAATATTATTTAGTGGGAAATGCTTCATTAAGTGCGACCAATCAGACTTAATGTGAGTTAATGAGCCTCTAATTTATAACTTCTCCAAAAGACAGAAAAAAGGAAGTGATTGTATTAAATAAAATGTAATTCTAACCATTTTGAGGTTTTCTTTCACTATCTGAGATGTATTTACCAAAGCAGCCCTGTTATCAGTCCACGGGTTCATAACTTTAGGGCATTACATATTTATCAGCACTGGGACTCATAAACACATCTTCGGTGGGACGCCATGATTTCACGCTATACCACAAACATTTTAAGGCATCAGATGCACTGCCTGTCATGGACTGTCATTTTTGGTGTGTTAATAATATATCTTGGTTTCCTCGGCAGACATACTTTGGCACTTTGGCGCATAAATAGGTAAATAACGTGGACAAATAGGTAAATAACGCAGCTGACGTGAGAGCTGTCAGTAGAAAACAATATTTAGAACCGTTATACTTTTATTTTTCCTGCTCATATACATCAGAAACAGTCGGGGTCCATTTATTCTAATCAAATATAGACCCATGTCACACTACAAACAAATCACTATGCTCACAGCGCTCCTCAGATTGTTCTAATTAAGAGCTGTCTAATTAAATTACAGCCTTGAGTTAACCAATGACAATACTTGTTTCATTAGCAAAGCAGGGAGCCTGACGGGAAGAAAATCCGTTCCATTCGCAGGATGGTGTCAATTGGCTAATTTGCTGCCTTCAGTAGCACAAGGCGTTTTCATAATGTTATATTAGGAAAGCGCGTTTAAAAGCTTGTGATATAGGTTGAGCTAATAGTGGTTTCATATTGAGCAATGCAGGTCGAGAATTGCATCTCGCCAGCGAGTGATCTCTCCAATAAATTTATGAATGTGGGCAGTGGCTTCTCGAGCTCCGATGGATCAGAGCTTTCGTTGCAGGACCATCCTATTATATCTGCAAGTGACAACCTGGAGAGAAGTTCACCTCTTAAAAAAAACTCTGGGGAGATGACGAATCAGTCAGAGGCAGACAATTTTCCCGACTCCAAGGACGCATCAGGGGACGTCCAGAGGGGCAAACTCTCTCCTGGTCTACACGGAGTCTCTGACATCCGTCATAATTTCGATGGATCTGCAGGAGAAAGGTGCATCTTTACTCCATCTACCCAGCCACAGTCAATCTCAGCAGCTCCCAGTGCCATGTTCCCTTACCCGACGCAGCATGGACCAGCGCACCCGGCATTTTCTATCGGAAGTCCCAGCCGGTATATGGCCCATCACCCGGTCATCACTAATGGAGCTTACAACAGCCTTCTGACCAACACTTCTCCTCAAGGCTATCCGGCAGCGGGCTACCCGTACGCGCAACAGTATGGACACACTTACCAAGGAGGGGCTTTTTACCAGTTCTCCACCGCGCAAGCAGGACTGGTTCCGGGGAAAGCGCAGGTGTATCTGTGCAACAGGGCCCTGTGGCTGAAGTTCCACAGGCACCAGACAGAGATGATCATCACAAAGCAAGGACGGTAAGTGGTGAAGGTTTAAATACATTACTTACAAGCGTTTATTTCCAAAGTTAAAATAAACGTTTTGATAAGCCTATCATCAACACATCTTTCCATAAATAAAAAAGCATGGTGGAGGAATCTTACCTATTTTATGTCCATTTTTTTTCATGGCAGGCGTTTTCTAAATCTGTGTTTTTTCTTTATTTTCCACAGACGAATGTTTCCATTTTTAAGCTTCAACATCTCTGGCCTTGACCCAACTGCTCACTACAATATATTTGTGGATGTAATACTTGCTGATCCAAATCACTGGCGATTTCAGGGAGGCAAGTGGGTGCCATGTGGGAAAGCAGACACAAATGTTACAGGTGATACAAATAATGAAGTCCTACATTTATTGTACAATTAACATTTGTTATTCCATATTAAAATTGTTTGTGATTTTTTTTATTGTACAGTTGTACCACTGTGTATTTTGACAACATTCAGATGCAATAATAAAATCCTGGCCATGTTTTTCTTCTTATTATTATTTTTAATTAACCCTGTTTTGATTTTGCTTGTTCTTTTATAGGAAATAGGGTTTATATGCACCCGGACTCACCAAATACCGGAGCTCATTGGATGCGTCAAGAAATATCATTTGGAAAGCTAAAGCTTACAAACAACAAAGGTGCCTCCAACAACACGGGACAGGTAATGCAACATGTTTGATAAAAAACATTTTTTTGATTATTTACGTAATAAAAGTTGTACAAATAAAAACATGTTTTCCCTTCCTATCTTTTGCATTAAACTAGGTGTTTTAGTTGTGTTTTTTTACAGTACAATTTCACTAGTAAAGCGTTATAAAAATAATCATAGAATAAAAGATTAACGGAGCTAAATCAGATCAGCATGCTGCTTTAATCATCTATCCAACGTTTGGAGCTGAGTTTCTGACGCGCGTCTTTAATTGGATCTCCAGATGGTGGTTCTGCAGTCTCTCCACAAGTACCAGCCCAGGCTCCATGTGGTGGAAGTAAACGAGGATGGGACAGAAGACACCAGCCAACCTGGAAGAGTCCAGACTTTTACCTTCACAGAAACGCAATTCATCGCAGTCACAGCCTACCAGAATACCGACGTAAGACCACTTCATATCCAACCCTGAAATTGTTCCCTCAAACAAGGCTCATATTAAATTTGTTCAATATTGTTGAAAATAAACAGAATTTTCTGCATTTTCAAATTATACTTATGTTAAGCTCGTTGGTTTGTAACAATTATGTGGATTTTAATAAGCATAAAACGTATAAGAAATATTATTTTTCACATTGAAAGAGCGGCAGTCCGCATATTTCTTAATCATGGCGTTATTTCTCCACAGATTACACAACTGAAAATTGACCACAATCCGTTTGCTAAAGGATTTCGGGACAACTACGACACGTAAGGTTTTCCTTATTACTTTTACAATACTTTTATTCAACTGTAATTGTATTTGGTATAGCCTCTTTGTTTGAATAAATACATAAAACTCCTAAATCAAAAACCAGATAATATCTTAATAAAATTGTTTAAGGCAACTCTAAAATGCAGCTATAAGGATAGGTTAAAGGGTTATAAGATTTAAGAAAAATCGAGAAAATAAAAACATTGGTTTTTGTACTTTTAAATTGATTATAGATGAAACGAGGAAATTGCAAACAATTTCATTTGAGCTTGGCCTATCTGGTTTTGATAATATAAGCTAATAAAACACTTGCAATATTAAACTTGTAAAAGTAGTTGTAAAACAACTGAAACAATTAGTTTGTGGCAATGCAACTTTGCATGGATCAATGTTTTAATAATTTGTATAAAGCTGAGGGCCTATTTGGAAACACTTTACATGCGTAAAGATATGGGTGTGTTGCCAAAAACATTTCAAACGTATGCAATTGAGGGGAATTTTATCCCCTCATGAGATATTATAATCTAGCCTACTAAATACAGCATGAATATTATATTGACCTACATTTCACTAACTTCTAGAAACCCTGCTTTATCGCACAGTTGATTAACTGAATTGTCTCTGTTTTTCTCTGCATCTCTCAGTGTCTACACAGGCTGCGACATCGACCGCCTAACTCCATCACCGGGTGACTCTCCGCGTTCACAGATCATGCCGGGTGCGAGATATGCCATGCATAGCTCTTTCCTGCAGGACCAATTTGTCAGCACTTATGCCAAATCTCGCTTTCACCCTGGCGTGGGGACTTGTCCTGGCACGGAGCGCAGCGTCCCACTCGGCAACAGCTTGCTGTCCCCGCAGCAAACCGACGAGCCCACTGTTGCCACCCCCCCGCAGCGATGGTTTGTCACCCCTGCCAACAACCGACTGGACTTTGCTGCCTCGGCATACGACGCCGCTGATTTCGCCGGTAACGCGGCCACCTTGCTGTCCTACGCAGCGGCCGGAGTGAAGGCTCTTCCCCTGCCGACTGCGGGCTGCTCCAACCGGCCTCTTGGCTATTACGCAGACCCGTCAGGCTGGGGAGGACGCACGCCGCCGCAGTACTGTGGCGTAAACAGCAAACCCAGCGCGGTCTTTTCCTGCTGGCCCGCTAACTCTCTCGGTTGCAGATCGGGCACCAACTACCTGAGCGAGGAGGTAGACCCCATCCCAACAGAGAGGTCACCGATCGGCGTCTCCGAGGAGCCCAAAGCCAAAGACATGACATCAGAGTCGAACTGGATAGAGACGCCGTCCTCCATTAAGTCCATCGATTCGAGCGATTCTGGTATCTTTGAACAGGCCAAAAGGAGGAGAATCTCACCTTCTGCCACGCCGGTTTCAGAGACAGTGTCTCCGTTAAAATCGGAGCTGCTGGCACCACGAGAGTGTGAGAAAAACTGCACAAAGGACATTGGGTACTACAGTTTCTATCCTCACAGTTAAAATGACAAAAGAGTTCATCTGTGAATCAATCAACCTATCTCTATCTATCTATCTATCTATCTATCTATCTATCTATCTATCTATCTATCTATCTATCTATCTATCTATCTAGGTTAATCTATACAAATACAAAAGTTGAAAAGGACTGTCACCTCCACAGTTATGGTCAAAGTGTACATTCTTCCATGGCTCGGGCGCCTTGTTTCCAGAAAACACTGTAATTGTAAATATATTGTACATAATATGAACATTTGGTGATAGTGATTGGTTGTACACAGAATAGATACAATCTGATTTATAAGTATAGGCAAGTGTTTTAAAAACCTCATGTTAGCCTAAGCTGTTAGTGAAGAAAGATATCGATAAACTTGTACATGAAATGTTCTTGTGTAGCATATGCTGACATATTAATCCCTGTCAGTGAAAAAAATGTGTATTTTGTACTTTATCAAAGCTTTAGGCTACCAAAAGATTATGACGATCACTGCAACATTCATGATACCTGTGGATTAAGAAATGATAAATGTTGGTAATGTAGATTTAGTATTTTTTCATTTTCATTTTGTATTTAAGGTTATTTTTCATAGCCTGTATGCTAATGTTGTTGTGGAAATCTCTGTATACTGTAATGTGATGTAAACCTAATAAATGATGTTATCATCAGGACAACCAATTCTTTATTTCTAAAAAAATATCATGCTCCTCTTTTAATAATTTTTATTCCAACTATCTTAAAACAGACCAATAATTATTTAAAACACATTTTTTATGAACGCATCATACTTTTTCTTCATCTTATGAGAGACAATCTTGTATCTCATCTTAAAATATTGAGACATTAAATAAAAGTGAGAGCCTGCCCTCTAATGCGTCCACTAATTGGTCCAGAATATCCCAAATAATTAATATTGCGGATTCAAATTTCAGTTTATTAAGACTCTCCCGTGGCAAAAATGACATCTCCTTTTTGCTATTATCAAATAAAAACGGCAAAAAATCATGTGAGATATTAACAATGCAAATACATTTAAATAGAGCTACACGTTGTTATGCGTATTTAGAAACCCTATTTATTATAGGCTGATTTAGAAATAATATTTTCCGGTAATAACATTTGGTTGGAATGATATTGTTTGCCAATCTAAAAAGGTGAAAACTTCATAGTTACACTGAAAAAAAAACCTGTGAAAATGACCAGTTTTCTGTTCGGCACCCAAAGGAAGTGACACAAGAAAAGAAAGTCTTGTCCGTGCAAAAATGTGCAAATGGGTAAACATCACTTGAAAATACACGATTTTGTTTTTACTATAATTGACTGCAGGATGATTGGTTTTGGTATTGCTGCTCTTGTCATTAGATTTTGTTAATGGCTTAATTTGAGGAAAAAAATAAACACCGACATAAAAATCTGTGAAGTTAAGAAATATAATTAAAACGGATGCATAATAAACCCAATGTGCACATAATTGGAATTTCGTTGTGAAGGAGATGCTCACAGCTGCCAATAGACGGGTGGTGTTTAGCCTGCATGTCTTAAAGTGTGTGTGTGAGAGAGAAAGAGTGTGTGTGTCTGTCTGTGTGTGTGTGAGAGAGAGTGGTAGAGTGAGAGAGAGAGAGAGAGAGAGAGAGTGTGTGTGTGTGTGTGTGTGTGTGTGTGTGTGTGTGTGTGTGTGTAGTTATGCACTGACGGGCAGCGATAGACCTTCCCAGGGATACACAGTAGATGGCGATATCTGAATGCATTATCAGTGATCAGTTTGTTGGTTTGTTGGTGTGTGGCTCTCTCAGGTCAGTCGGGTCCAGTGGCAACTTTAATACAAAACATTAAAAATATATATCAAAACTTATTTTTATGACTCAATGAAAATGTGTGCAGATGTTTCCCTTTTGAATTCAACGACTCATGGACAGGGATCTACACCAGATGGCGATGCTTTACTATTATTCTATCAGCGGAAGAAACCCCTGCTGTTAAAAATACTTAAATCTGCAGGGCCAAAAATGGTTTCAACTGCAACCAACAAGCTCTGATGAACAAGTCACCCTGGGAAGTAAACACTCTTCCTGAAAACAAACACACGTGAAGCTATAAGGACTTTGATATGAAAACCACATATCCTTATAGAAAACGTTATGAAGTCTACTTTATGTATTGGGTGGATGGAACCGTGAAGTTGGACTCGATAAGTTTGAAGATCTGTTTAACCCATACAGTATATAGTTTAACCAACATTTCCAATCATAGAATAAAAAAAGAAGTATAATTTAATGGATATTGGTTGGAAGAGCAGCACATTTGATGTGGCTGCTTTGCTCAGCTCATCGGAATATTAAAACACAAAACACTACGAGAGTGGTACACATTGGGATTATTTCAGGGGCTTAAATTGTAAGGGTACCAGAACCATTGAGGAAATGTTAGAGCAAGTTTTAGTAGGCTATGCCTCTATACCAAAATACTCATTTAAACTTTAAACTGTAAGATAATAATGCAAGCCATATTTATATGCAACAGATATTTAATCTTTAGAAAATCTTATGAATAGCATGAAACATCTGCAGTTTTCTGACATGGTTCGATATCAACACACTTTTTTAGGGGGGATAAGATATTACAAGGAAAATGTTGGGAAAGCACTAAACAAATATAAGTGCATGAGTCTGGGTACTGTAGTACCGCAATATCTGCTATAAGGTATCAAGGGATGGCTTAAACCCGCTGAGTCATGGTCTAAAAAAGCATACATTGTTATATAAATTGCACACGTGACCTGACAACAGTTTACCCAGAAAACTCTGCGTGTGAAACAAGGGCTAATCGTTCAAGAGTGACGCGACGGTCTGCTGGCAGAGATGCGCATGTGAAGGGAGAGGAGCGCAGAGAGGCGTAAAGCACCACGGAGCTGCTGACCGGCGGTGAGATGAACATGTGACCGCTGTGAGCTCGCTCAGTCGCTGCTACACCTGCAGGATCATATCAGCGGAGGTTTGCTCCATCATCTCTGTGATACGGTGACACGGCTGAGAGGAGGATGGACCCCACGGAGCAAGGTGCCCAGATAGAGCCGCTGCTGAGAACGGTAAAGAGCACTAAACTCTTTGGAAACAATATCTCATATTTTATCCTGAACAGCTATTGGTAAAAAAAAAAAAAATGCAACTATTTCATCAGAAGGCAGATACTAAATATTTAATTCAACATGTTTCATGAAACCCGGGGAGCTTCCAGCATGTGCAGCTCACCTGCAGAGCTCTACTCACCTGTAGAAAGGGAAGCGATCTCTCCAGATATATAATGTATGTGATATTGCATTACTGAAAAAAAGAAAGAAATCTGTTTTTTTTTTTTTAGTAAGCCAACATGAGACTAAATCTGGACAGGATGTAAAGGTTACTTTATGAATTGAAACAGGCATCACGAGGAGGCTTATGTGATTCTGTTTTACAATATAACGTGACTGTAAGAGTGATTAAAGGAAGTCAAATGACTTTGTGCTTTATGATTTTATATATGCCAAATCCATGTTTGGACAGATGTCAGATTAATATGGTAAATTCATGCTGAAGTGCCCTGATGTTATCTGATAAAATTGTGAAATGATTAAGTTTATGTAAAATAAAAGTGGTGTTATACTGTTCTATATGAAGCTTTGCAAATGTATGCGTAGGCAGCTAGCATACACAAACATTATTATAAAAACAAACTCTACAAGTATTTTTCAAGGAAATCCTATTGATATAAAATAAGTCTCACTCTGGGGATGTTCTTAGAGATGCGTGGTGGGCCCATCCCCATTGGTCCTTGCTGACCACTCAGGAGATTTGTTGTTATTATCCTTATGCTGTTTCACATCAAAACAGATGTCCCCATTTAGCTGAAGGTTTTAGACTGACTGAGCTTCTTTACTCCGGTAGTACTTTAGGTAGAATGTGGCTTTAGTTTTAGAGTGTTAAGCTTTATCTGATTCCGAACAACAAACTTCTAAATGGAAAAGTGTCCAGAGTAGACCCCTCTACCAGACTGGAGTGACCACTTTGTAAAGAAGTAACTTTAGCAATGATGAAAACACTTATTTCCAAAAGGTTAAAATAAATCTGTGGCTTTCCAGTGGAGTGCGGAAGTTTAGTAGGTCACAACCCATGTATTTCTCAGCTTTTATAGCAAGACTATGAGGATAAAAGTTGAAAAGAAAAGTGTTGCATTGAGGTAACTGATTTGTTCTTGGATCTAATTGTGAAGAGTGCAAGTAAAAGACAGACTCATAGCAGGTGGAGCTTAGGAACTATGGGCCCACGTTGATTTGACGCAAAGTGAAAAGTTTAAGTATAACTTTACTGTGGATACATCAAGAGCAAAGAGAGGAGGGATGTATAATGAAAGCTTCATCCTTAATGAGATGCTGCCGGCCAGCCACAATGACGTTGCCACTATAATCTCATGATGAGAAACTGGTGGCTCTGTCGATAGATGCTCAATCAGAAATTACAGTTGTTTGGCACAACAGAAGGGGATCAGTTTCTAACATGGTCTGCAGCACGGCAGCGGGAGTTTGCACTGCAGAGCTCAGCTTATAGACTGTGTAGCACTCTGTCTTAACTGATTATAAAGCAGAGGACACAGAGGAAGAGCTCATGGATTCGGACAACTTGGAAGCTCCTTGGCTCTGTAAATATAAGGTAGGAAAGAAAGAAACCCTCTTTGATGAAAGAAATATTCAAATCGTTGTGTGGTTAGGGTAGGAGGTCTTTCACAGTATGACATTTGGGATAGTTTGTGAAAACGGAACTCTCTCTCTCCGAGTGTCCCAAATGAGCGTAAAATCCTGGCAAAAGTAGAAAAGTGGAAAACAGCTTTCTCCAGTTGAACTACTGATCCATATTGCAGTATTGAGATGGATTCAGACACTAATTCTGCCAAAATAAGTGGTCATATCTGTTAAATACCTTTAATAACATAAAAAAAAAAGGAATATTAGTATTAATGTGTGCTCTTACAGGATGTTGACATTTAAAGCATTAACATTTAAGGATTACAGTGTATTTTGTGCCTCACGAAAGCCTGTGCAGTTAATGATATTGCTGCCACCAATGCCTCCAAAATTGCAACAGCCATCTGTAGGGATCAGATCCAAGTATGTGCAACATCCTGTGATATCAATTCAGCTTTGAAGTTTGCCAGCCTTTTAACATGCTTTTGCTCATAAATGGATGATTATTGGACTGCTTAAAAAGTGCTGGGGGGAGGGAGGGTGTAGTTTTTTGCCTGTTGGTGACAGGACCTTTACTTGAACTCTTCTGTGGATTTATCTATTTCTTCAGTACCTACTTGGGCTTAGGAACCAATTGTACTGATCTGATCTTGTTTGAATCGCCATGTCTTACTTAGTAGATCTATCCGTCATGGTTATTTGTTAACATTATTTTTCAATCATCCCCCTTAAAAGGAAATACAACATTTAAAATGCACTAATGCAACCAAAATATTGTTATACTGTACATATCTTAACTCCCAACAGAAGGCCAAACACTTTGAAACTTATGACACAATGACCTGAAACAATTAAAAAAAAAAAGATAGGTATGGATATTCTCTTTAAGGTACATTTCACTTATTTAATCATCTATTTAGCATAACATTAGATTCCATTCAACCAAAAAGGGATTTTCTTTATTGCATGGATTGTGCTAAGTATACAGTACGTCACATACATGATACAGAAATAAGGTGATATGCCTCAATGGGCTTTTTTAAGGATGCAAAATGGAGGGTAGGCCTATATGCAGAGTTTGGTTGGTTGAGTTTAAATGAGAAAACAGCTCATGAACTTTAAAAAGATGAAGTCACTGAAGGCATTTTGTGTCAAGGTTTAGTGCACATTGACTTCTGTTATGAATTATGCTAAGTGAGCATGGTGGTCTGTCTAATGGTGTTCTAGCAACAAATACAGACAGTTTTAATCTGACCAGGGATGTTGATCCATGCCCTCTGTATTTGTAGACAGATTATCAACTGCAGCTTTGAGCCCATGTGGCAATGCAGCTGTGAACAGCAGTGCCCTTTATTATGATAATGCCTTGATGTTCAACTAGTCAAAAGGGCCCATGAAAAAGCTGATGTCAAGCAAACTTTCTGGATTAAAATGGCCTACCCTAATAAGTGCTTCAAATCACTATGTAAGAGACAGGATATATTCTACAGTGCTCTATTGTTCTATGTTTATTTTGCATCCTCAATCCCAGCTGTTGCTGAATGGATAAAGAGGAAATGACAGAATCATCACTTATTTTACGCATAAATCCATGCCAGTGATCAACCAATCAACATCATCCGTTTTCTCAAATGTTAAGCAAACATTGTAGTAAATGAACATTTAATTAATGCTAGCAGGTTTATCAGTCCTTTACTCTAATTGAAAAACTACAGGATCCTCATTGGGATTGGTAAAGACCATAAAGACATAAATGCAAAAATAACTTAATTGATCCCTTAACTTAATCAGGCCCCACTAGCACAAGACAGAAATACGTGTCCAACTCCAAAACATAAAAGTGCATTTGAGCTTGCTAACATGCTAACACTATCATGCTAGTGTTTGTAAAAGGCGTTCAGGGAAGTTAATAACTCACGCGTAAGGTTGGGCGTTAATTAACTTGCCAAACCGAGCTGTTATTCCTGTTTTTATAGTCCTGTAAAACAAAACAATACATTCTTCTTCTTCCTTCGTGTTTATTGGCGGTTGGCAAACCAACTTGTAGGTGCATTACCGCCACCAACTGGACTGGAGTGTGGACAAGAGACTATGCAGAAAACAACAAACAAAACAAAACAAAGAACCAAAACTCTAGATTATTTTAAATGTGTCAATTTACTAAACAATACAGCTTGGGAACACCTCTGATAAAGCACACATTTCACCTTAGTGTTGCTAGAAGAAGTTTGTTTTGGAGTGTGGTCGGCTCATTGTTGCTCGTTGTGGTGACTGAGAGTAAAGCAGCACTCAGTATAAATGCAGTTATCCCCCCTCTGGCCTCAAGGGGCAGTTCTGAGATAGTTCTGAGATAGCTTAGTTCTCTCACAACGAGGCGAAGAAGACGAACCACTAGAGAAGGTATACTCAAGTATACAAGTAGTACAAGTATATTTTTGTAATATAGGTTTATCGTTATATATCGAGGTTACAAAGATTTTCTCTTGTCTTTTGCAATGGACAAATCAGTCTAAGTTGGGCTAATGTTTTTTTTAGCGACCATGCTATGTTTAACCAACTGCAAACTTACCTCACATCACCAAAAGGCTGTCATGAATGGCAAACCTAAAGGAAAGTTTTGCACAGTTTCAGTCACTGAAAGGGTCAATTACTTTGGTAGAATAGACTACCATATTAAAATAAAAATCTTCTTTGCACCTGCAGTCTCTCTACAACTAAGGCATTGAGAGGGGGCTGCATTTTAATCATTTTTGCTAACTAACACCCCCCTCATATCACTATACCAATACATTTGCATAGGCCTACTACTGTATAAATGCTTTTCAACTGAAGTACACATTTCACAGTTAATGAGTGGGTTGGAATTTCTCCTATACATACAGGAGCACTGTAGTACAGTTGCGGCCAAGATTTTGCAGTTAAAACTCAGGATTCATCTGTGTAATTGTGTTGAAAAGCTCCAAGATTGAATGAATAGCATATACACATTGTTTAAATGTTTATGTTAAAACAGGGATTCAGTTTACATTCTTATCCTTGGATGAAATGGTAGGCTAAGTGACAATAAATGATTTCTGTCGGATTCACAAATTCACTCTTACCACTCATTCCCCCTCATCTTCTTTCACTATTATTACATAAGCAGGCTGATTCTCACACCACAGAATGCTGCTTCTCTGTGTGACCTGACTCTAAACAAGTAGATCCATGTGCTCTGAGCCATCTCCTGCTATGGCAAAGCCTGAATGTTTCATGTTATTTACTGAATTGACTGGTTAGTTAACTGCTTATTATCTTGTGTCACATGTGAGGGGTTATCAGGACAGGACAGGTCTGTCTATAGTAAAACTTTTGTGCTCAAAAGCGGTCATTTCATATTCTCTATACTGTAATCTGACTAAAGCTCTGCCCTAAGGATTATATTTCTGTCACTGTTGTAAGTGCATATCTTTGTACTGTTTTAAAATAAATAAACATGGAGTTTGGAAAACCCCCATATGTTACTGTCCGTATAACTTGCTGCTTACTGCAAGGAGAGTTTGTAACACAATATCAAAGCTGAAACTAATAACATGGTTTCATTTATTTGGAAGCATGAGTTTTATTTCTCTCCTCCAATTAAAAACTAAGGACATGTATTGTTGTTCCTGCATAAGTGTGGGTGGTAAAACAGAGAGATAGATAGTGTTGAAATGAAAAACAAAACAAAAAAACAGCAAGCTAAGGGAATACAATGTTATTTATCTAACCTTTTTATAAATGCATTCAAGCAGTGATTCACCTTTAGCTCAGGTCCCATTAACAATGTCATACAGGTCACTGCAAAGAAAGCACCTTAAACAGAAGTGCATCTTTAAAAAGCAGGTCATTTATTGTTCCCCTTTATGAAAAGCTTTCTGTTTGGACTAAGATGATACTCTTTCCTTTTCAAAATGACACATGCATTAGTTTCCTTGGCAACCGCGCTACTCGGTTGGATAATGTGTTTGTTCACCATCCCCTCGACTGTGAGGAAACACCAAATCAACAATCATTTAGTTTCATGCTATGTTCAGGATACATTAGTAAACTTGAAGATATGTGATGTCATGCTCCTGTCCAAGCTATTATAAGATAGTGTATGACACTTGTGCTCTTAAATAATATTTATAATGTTGAATATGTGTTTCTCTGTGTTTGTCACTATGTGTCCAACAGAGGAATGATGACGAGGCTGTGGTGGACCGAGGAGGAACACGGTCCCAACAGGGGACCAACATCGGGCAAGAGGATCTTGAAGGTACCTGGCCTGCACTGAATGCATCTGGGATGAAAAAGCTCGAAGCAGTTAGAGGCTGCTGGAGCTCAGTCCGCCCACTCTGCCCTTAAAACAGCTGTTTTCCTCTTTGTTCACAGTAAAAAGACAAGAGCAGAGTGGGAGGTAGAAGCTGTGGGTGAGCTGAGTGTGCATCAGAAATGTAATTATTTCTGAAAAATATGGTCATTCAAAACAAGATACTTAGAGAAGGTTTTAATAACTTCAATTAGAAACCAGAAGCGTTTCCCTTCTGCATCTGCGAACATGCATACATTAAAAAACAAAGCTATGTGTCTGTGTGTGTCAATGCTCTTAACACATTGCTTTAGTAGGTTTAGAAACAAGATGCCCTAAAATATAGAATTACGTTCACCTGAACAAAACTTTACACAAAACTAAAAACTCATTATTTTATCAGTAAAAGCCTGTTATTTGTAATTTGTTTCCAGAGCTCAATAACGTTAAAGCCACAAAAGTGTGTTAAAAAAGAGTGGAACAAATGATCCGTCATCCTTGTTGTAAGTTGGGATATTTAGAAGCTGCGAAGAACATGTCACTTGCTTTGAAATGTGTAAACATTAATGAAAGAGATTGTTTTTTGGCATTTATTTGAAAGATTACAGCTTGAATTTACCTCAAGGTTCTTTATTGTCAAACTAACATAACACGAGTAATTATGTCGTTGAAAATCGTAGGTCACAGGCTTCTCCAACAATGCAACACAATAATACAGATAAGCAGACAATATTAAAACAATATTAAAGTATATTATATTAAAAGTAATACAAAAAAGAAAATTGTTTTAAAAAAAAGTGAGAAAAAAACATACATAGAAAAGTTCAACATTCATGTGAGTAATCACATGATTTTGGTTTTAAACTCCTTTTATTATCACAGAATACCTTTTTAATGACTTGTGTCCTGCACACATCATATTTACACAGCTCTTCCGATCATTCCGAACAACACTGTATGTGTTGGTCTGAATCTTCTTCTGTCATGCTGCAGTGCGCTGAGTGGGCAGACTTACTCACTCATGCTGTCTCATCCCAGCACAAACACAAACATGGACACATAACTCTTCATTCCTTCCCACCAAATACAATATAATAGAATACAAAAAGTGAAGCCTATATTAGATTACCTTTTCTGCTTAATTATTTAAATAATAATATGTCTGCTGACCAAAATAACCATTGAGACATGTTTTTTCACAACTGGTTTAGAGCTTATTTAAAAATAGGACTTTTTCAAGTGAAAGTGTGAAGTTGCACAAGACTTGTTTGCATGAACCCGAAATAGATCACAAGAATGTCGTATTTTATTTTTTGATAATGTTTCATTATACCCTAGAATACAATAGAATGTGTTACGTTTAAATCTTATTTCTTAAATGTCACAATTTGATGTGCTATACCAGATAATGACTTTAAAGTAATTCACATCTGTAGTCCCCATAAATAGGTGGTATTAAATGAATGGCTAATACATTATTATACACTATATAGCAGCAGTAAACGTTATTTAACTACATGCTATCTGTTTGAGTGTAGCACTTAATCACAGCAAGGACAAATACATATAAAGCTTAATGGGGTAACACAAAGAAGTGATTATGATTATCTATGGTCACACACACACACACACACACACACACACACACACACACACACACACACACACACACACACACACACACACACACACACACACACACACACACACACACACTCTTACCACTGTGTTTTATCTCCCTAGGCCACAGGACTCTCTACATCGGGGTCCACGTCCCCCTGGGCAGTACCAGGCGCCACAGCCATCGCAGGCACCATCACCATGGAAACAAATACAAGAAAAGGAGCAGGGACCGGGACCCCACCCTGGTGGAGGGTAGAGAGTCTCCAATTTATGGTACTAGCTACAATCATAGACTTGCATAGCATAAAGAAAATCCTTTAAATTTTTTTTCACAATCTCTTACTAACTAAAGTTACTGAATATTAAGACTTCAGTTTGAAACACTTAACGAAACCGCTTGTGTTTCCAGATACTCCGTCCCAGAGAGTGCAGTTCCTACTGGGCACTGAGGATGACGATGAAGAGCACATTCCTCATGACCTCTTCACACAGATGGATGAAATCTGTCTAAAGGAGGCAGAGGATTCAGATTGGAGGGAATCTGCCAGGTTAGACTGCCCTGGCACTGCAGCCTCACAGTCCTGACCTACATGTCATTACGGAAAGCTCTGATTGAATGGACCGGTCATGCCCCCGATCCCACTTACACTGATGAGAGATGTGGCTGTCTATCCAGTATTTGTTTCCATTGCATTTAAGTAATCGCGATCCATTGTTTTAATTGCTTTGGGAATTGTTTTATTGTAATGTTAAACAACATGTATAATGTATTTATCATATAAAGGATGGTGTTCTGTTAAAATGGTAAATCAGACATATTTTATTTATAATGATACCGTGATGAGAGGCAATAAGAGAGGGACCTGGAATGAAGGAGTGTGGTTAATGCAGCTAGAACAGATGGCCGGCCTGGTTTGCCATCTGCGGCTCTCTCTCCTGACTGATCCCCACTCTCCTGTTACAGGTGGCTGAAGTTTGAGGAGGACGTGGAGGACGGAGGAGAGCGGTGGAGTAAACCCTACGTAGCCACTCTGTCTCTACACAGCCTGTTTGAGCTGCGGAGCTGCATTATCAACAGCACTGTGCTGCTCGACATGAGGGCTAACACCATTGAAGAGGTTGCAGGTAACGACTGGAGAAGACACAGTTGTAGCAAGTGACAAAGTAACTGTACTTTGTCTATTTAAGATGACCTCTGAACTCAGAAAAGTGTTGACTATTACATTGGGTGTCTCCTTAATGTACCTTTATATGAAAAGAATGATGTAGTTCTCACTTCATTCACTGAAGGGACTTTTTTTATTTTTGTATACTGTATACTTTGTACTCATTATATTTGTCTGATGCACTGTTTGAAATCTAGAAGTAAATTGATGCACTACATACAGTATTCACAATTTGATGGACCTCATTACAGTCAAGAATAACTAACCTCATTCAACTATTACAAAGCTCTACTGTTAAGGCTCCTAAATTACCTCACATCTACAGTGCCTGATTTTTAGTATTTGACGTTTTTCATGATTCTTGTAACTGTTTTTAATTATTTTTGTTGTTGTTGTTGTTGTTGTTGCGTTGTTTCTTTTTTGGTGTTTAAGTTCTGGTGATTTTTTTCTGGTCAAGGTCTCTCTTGGAAGAGAGATCTTATTCTCACTGAGAAGGCCTGATACAACAAAGATGAATAAGAACATGAATCTAAATAGCTATTATTTTTCTACCTAAGACATGGTGTTGGACCAGCAGGAGTTATACGCACCGCTGGGAGATGATCTCAGGAAGAGAGTGCATGCCACACTGCTGAGGCAGCACCACCACCAGAACCAGAAGAAGCTGGCTAACCGCCTGCAGATTGTACGCTCCCTCGCTGACATGAAGAATGGTGGGTAAATCACTGCTCTGCATATTAACATTATCACCAATTTTACATCTTCAGGAATTTATGATATTTAAAGGAAACATTATCGGAAGGAAGAACTAGTCTTTGGTTAAACTGGCTAAAATATATTGACATAGACTGCTATAAACAAACTGTGAGAAGGGGTCCTAAGAACAAGGAAACATGTTTTAATGGGTTTCCTTCTGCAATGAATGTTGTCAGTTGTGCTTAAGTGTAGATACTGTGCATGATGTGTATGTGTCTTATATGCATATGGTCTTAACGTAGCAAATGTTCCATATTCTCCTTATTTGTGATTATCCCCACCATCTGCCCACCCACCTGCCAAAGCCCCACTGATGTCAACAGGTTCTGGTTTATACAGAAAGCCCTCATCAGTTTTTAATTATAAAAACATAATGTAGGGAAGAATCTTCTCATTAATTATGTTTACACTGGCAAAATAGGTTGTTTTTTGTTCGATTGGAGTTGAGTTAAAAAGTAGATTTAAAACTGTGTAAAAGTATATTATATAAATATTGTTTTGCTGCTGATCTAAACAGCCTAACATCTATTTAGTTTTAATTCTGTGCTAATTTAAAAGTTGAATTGGAAGCATTGCCAGAATTCAACATGACAAAATTAGTTTACCGATCAAACCAAGCTGTTTGTTAAATCTTTTTCTAGTTTACTAGAATTACTTCTGGCACATCATGAGGAATTTAATGTCACTAATGTGTCATTTTTAAGCTTATTTCAAAGCAACAATCTCTGACGAGCTTAACGCCATGCTTGGTAAACGCATTAAACATTATAATTAGTGTTAATTTTTGACCCGGCAGTTTAATAAATACAGAAATTAGGACAAACCTGTCAGGCAGCTAGGCAGTTATCATGTTGTCTTCTCTGGCCTTTTTGATTTCCCCCCTGTTTTTCGTGAAATAACTAATTGCTGAAATGTTGAGACATTTTTGGAATTGATTCATATTTCTCCATTATGAATTGTTGCAGGTCAGCTGACAGCCTCCACGTCTCAGTTAGCAACTCCAGACGGGAAAGGGGACATCTCTAGAGAGAACAGTTCAGTGGACTTCAGCAAGGTGTAGCAAACACACTGGGCACATGGATATAAAGCACATATAATAAAAGCACATACAATAAAACAATATTATAATATATTATATAATAGTCACATCCAACATTTTCTCCATAATGAATACTTTTTCCCTTTTTACTTGCTGGTGAATGCTTGTATTTGACTTATTTTGGAATTATTTCTAGCATTGATACTTTTAATTATAACGGATCATGCATTATTGTCAAAAGGAAGTGATTGCACTAGTGTGGAGCGGTCAGGGTAATGTGCAATTGTTAAACAAGTGTAGTTCTTACTAAAAGCCTGCCATATTTGACGAATAAGCGCAGCACCGTTGAACAAAGAACAGAAGGTCACTTTTGGTATTTTTAAAAAGAAAGGTCATCTAGTAGGGGATAAGGATTATAATGTCGAGTATGACATTCATAGACATTACAGACAAGGATAAAATCTCACTCTATCTGATTTGTGCCTTTTTCCTGTTCACCATGTGCCTATTAATCCACATTGCACTTAGTATTATTTATAAACACTGTAACAACCAAAGTCCTGCCTTTGCGGAGGCTCCCTAATATTCAATATATAATTATTTACTTGATGCACAAAGCAAAATAATTAGTATTACTGTCAGACTCTAAAAATCAGCACTATAACTGTGTTGACGTTAGGACCCAATAATACATTACAAATATTAATTTGGATGGCTCAGAACAACACCAGAGCCACATGAACTCCATGAAGGAACAAACAACACTTCAGTCAGCACTTGTCAACTCCACATAATTATCACTGGAAAAATAACACATTTAATATTGCAACATTTTCTGTAGATTGTAGCTCCACTGCATTAAAAAGTAAACATTTGAAATAGCAGCTGTGGGGCATTTATATGCCTTTAGGCATCATACTTTTGAGGCGTGAAAGATACCTCACCCTTATGCAACATGTAAAACTATGTTTCCATAATCTTTTGTAATATTTTATTTACATCGTATAACACACAAAGTCTGGACATCTGGACTGTATTTAGACTCTACAATCCAGTCATAACAATTCATTTGGAGCTTATATGAGGATACACTTAAACAATGATTTATTTATAGAAAGCACTTTGGTACAAAATTGTTGTTTATTGTATCTTGTGTCCTTTTTCCAGATAGACCTTCATTTCATGAAAAAGATCCCGGCTGGGGCTGAAGCGTGTAACGTGTTAGTAGGAGAGCTGGAATTTCTGAACAAGCCGGTGGTGGCGTTTGTCCGCCTCTCACCGGCGGTCATACTCAATGGGCTGACTGAAGTCCCCGTTGCCACAAGGTTAGGTTACTGCAGGACAAACCAGTTCAATAAGCTATAAATATATTGTATTTACTCTGCTGATTCATTGGAATATATGTGTTTTTGCTTTTAGGTTTCTGTTTATTCTTCTAGGGCCTTTGGGTAGAGGGCCTCAGTATCATGAGATTGGAAGATCCATTGCAACACTTATGACAGATGAGGTGAGAGTTCACTAAAGAACATCGTTAGCACCCTTCATAATTTATTCTTCATTAATGTTTCGAAGAGTGTGGATTGTTCTGAATGTCAACCAGATGTCATGCTCAGAGTTTCTGCAGGCGCTATGCATAAATTCACAGTCCAGCAGAACTCACAAATTCCTGAAGTGATGGAACATTTCTCAGCATGAGACACAGCTCAGAGCTTTTTATGACAATTTTGGCGATGAGTCAGCCCTCATGTCCTCCTTTTTGTCTGGGATTTAGGCTGCCATCCATCATCACTGAGGAGGAAAAGATGGGCTTTACTGAAGTCCAAACGTTGTTAGACACACTGTGAATATCAGTGATTAACACTGTAATGTCATAGTCAGCAATTCCTATGTTTCTATGGTATATTCTGTTTACATGGGGTTAAGTAAGTCCAGGGCTCACTGTGTGAATGTACCCGTCTGCTCGATTACAACCTAGATTTGCAGACATTCCTGCATTAAATATCCCTAAGTCTGTAAAGTATACATCTTAAAGGAAGCCAAACACAGTGGGAGTGGGGTGAAGATTAAACATACAGTGCAGCATGTGCACTGCATGGCAGTCAGTCAAGGTTTGAGTCAGTAGTGCAGCTTTTTAAACAACGTTCCATATTTGTATGTCTATAGGTTTTCCATGATGTTGCCTATAAAGCTAAAGACCGCAATGATCTGATCGCTGGGATTGATGAATTTCTCGATCAAGTGACAGTCCTGCCTCCTGGAGAGTGGGACCCAACCATAAGAATCGAGCCACCAAAAAATGTACCTTCTCAGGTTGGTAGGATTTTATTTAGCTTGATGCATTATTTTCTTTATCTTGAGATGTCTTACCTCATTCACACCGGTTCAAGCTCCGTGCTAGAGCTTTTCAGGTTCAGAACCGGTTCTTCGGTTTAGCTCCGGCTCTTTTCACACTGCCCAGAGTCCGACTGGTGCTGCGTCATTGCGTCATCGTTTGCCTCATGACGTAACCGTTTGCGTGCCTGCTTCATAAAGCCAAAGCACGCGGAAACCCCTCAAAGCTGACACCGACAACAACAACAATGGCCGATTGTGCTCCAGCTTCCTCTCTACCTCTTCAGAAGACCAGATTCGGACTTCAGTGGACCACTGCTACTTGTTAAGTTTCTCCATCGTTGTGTACAAACTGGATAAAACGCCGGATTTTTGTTGTTGTTCAGGAGTTGATCCTGCCCCCGCCTCGACGTAAGCGTGACGTATGCGGTGCTTTTGCTCTGGCCGTCATTTTTTTGGTGCTCGAAATGAACCGGATTCCGGAGCTAAGAGGCTGCTCCGCTGCGGTGTGAACAGGAAAACCCGGTGCTCTTCAAGCTCCATCTCCGAAGCGGCCCTGAAACACCGTTGGTGTGAATGAGGTATCTGAGACGAGGGAACCGGAAGCGGTAAAATGCTAACTCACTTCCGGGTTTTAAGACTCATCACTGCACCACTCTATTGGCTTAGGATGGGCATCATCAGGCGTCTCAACCAATTTTCCGGTGTTGCCATGTTTGAGGTTGTAATTAATAGTACAAAAGGATTTCAGTCTTTTTGACTATTTTCAGTATACCTATCCAATATTATTGATCTAAATAAAATGTATTTATTGTTATATCAATTGTGCACTCTGCTGATGGTTTCATGGCATAAGCATTACAAACTTGAATTCTGATAAATATTGAGCCCCCATTCAAACGAAGATCAGTATCTGAATTTTAATGCAGGAAGGCCATACTGTTATGTACTTCCACGCTGAATATAGTACAAATAAGGGGGAAGTTTTATATTTAAAAGATATAAAAGATGTATATTTGGAGAATGTCTAAAACCTACACTTTTAAACAAAGGTACACTTCCAATACGAATGCATTTTCTAGCAAATCAAAGAACTTTCCTCAGTACTTCATGTCTTCCTGTAGCTTGCTTTCTTTCATTTCTTGACGCGTTTTAAGATGTCAGGTGCTATTACAGACCAGGGGTGAAAATTAAGCAGCAACACATCGATAATTGACTCCCAGCCACTCTATGCGTCGACATACTGTAGTGCCTCTCCTGTGTGATAATTGCTTCAAAGTCATATATAGCCTTTGTCGAGATTTACCATTGATTTATATAAAGTGGCTTTAAGTACAAACATTTTCTCCATCAGACACACGCGTACATAGAAAGCATCTGCTGTCCCGGTGTGATTCCATAAAGAAAGGTGATAACAATGCGTCTGACACTCATTTGTCTTTGACGATCTCTGGAGGTGACAGGGCACTCACACACACTCTTACATCATTTCCTGCTGTAGGTGTTAGTTAAAGGTTATGAGTTATATTCTCTGGAGCAAGGCACTAACACTAGCAGCGCTATGGGATGTTGTACCATAATATCATATCATTACAACATCAACATAACATTGACATGTTGACTGACATCCTATGGAGACACTGTGATCAGTTCAGAAATTGAGATGTCTTGCTACAAAAAAATAAAAATCGTATTTTCCATTTAGATATCAAACCATTTAGTCAAAATAAAATAAAATTACACCAATTAGTATGCTTAGTGTCATGTCATGTTTAAAAAATACATTGAAATCAATCCACACAATTTAGACAGTTTACTACACCAGGAAATAAAGTAGTTCCAAATAAATCTGTTCACAGCCATGTCTGTGGATTTTTCATAATACCCATGACGTTTGTTCAAATAAAAAACCCGAAAACACTGAGCACAAACTATTGTGTGTGGGCATTTTTTAGCCCTAACTCTAAACTAACTATCTAATGGCTGAATACAACTTATGGCAAGGATTACTTGAGTTATTCCTTTAATAGCAGCCATTTCTTATGACACCTTATCACGCATACATGAAACGTTTGACCAACGTGATCATCTGGAGCTGACATTGGCAAGTGATGGCTCTGGCGATTGAGCAAAATAAATAGTTGTCCATCAGCTCCATATGGACCTGTGTGTCTCTGCCCATGTCAGTCATTCATTTAGAATATAGAATATATCTTTATTTGTCATCATACAAAGTACAACGACATTTCCTTTGCAACTCTCACTGCAGTAAAATAAATAAATGAGGTTGCTAAAAGCAGAGGTAGTATTACATGTTACTTGTTAGTAGTAGCGATGACAGTGCAACGAGATACAATTCAGTGTCAATGTGCATATTTACACATGCAGTCTAAATATATATTAGTAAAATAGTCATAAGTATGTCTACATATTAGTGCTTGCAGTCTTTGGGGGGTGGAGTTGTGTGTGTGTGTGTGTGTGTGTGTGTGGGTGTGTGTGTGTGTGTGTGTGTGTGCGTGCGTGTGCGTGTGTGTGTGTGTGTGTGTGTGTGTGTGTGTGTGTGTGTGTGTGTGTGTGTGTGTGTTTGTTCACAGTTGCTGTAATGTGCTCTGAGGCTGGACAGGGATGGGAGTGATGGAGGCCACAGTTCTGGGATAGAAGCTGTTCCTGTCTGTAGCCCATACCATGTTCCTGTTAGTGTTTACTTGCTCTCTGCCTTCTTCTGGTGATTTATGTGACGTCCAGCGCTCCGTCTTTTAACATCTTTTCCTTTCTCTTTCTTGAACCTCCTTAACAACGGTCTTTATAGTCCTTGACAGCGGTCTGTACTACTGTATTAACAATGTGTCACATGTTCTGAATGGACCAATCAGAAACGAGTAATCAACTAAGCCGTGTAATAAAAGTTGTTAGTAGCCTTAAGGGCTTACACAGTTGTAATGCTATAGCACATTTCCTTTCACTGGATGTATAATGAGCTGACCTACACTACATTTTAGCATTTAAAATACCTAGCCATTCTTTATCCAATATTGACAGGTCAACCCTGCATGGAGACATAAAGAGGAAGGAGGAAAGGAAGTGAAAACAGGAGGTACAGAGGAACAGCAGAGGAAAGAGGGTCTTCACAGGAGGTCAGGCAGGCCACGTAGGAATGTTGGACCTTGAATCCACCGATTTGGTGCCGCCAGCTCAGCTACTGTCTTGCCACAGGTGAGGTCATTGGCTAGATTATTGGCTGTGTCAACATACCGCCAGGTGTGCTCGGCTGTCAATTCCTGGATCTCTGAGACCCTGGTTCCCACGAAGATTTTGAACCGGCATGACTCCGACGTCAGCCAGGTCAAGACTGTGGTGGATCGAATCAGTCCAGAGATAGGTCTGGGTGATGTTTAAGGTGAGCTCTCGATGGATGAGAGAGGATAGCTGAGCTCCTGTCAACGCTACACAGAGTTCCAACCTTGGTGGCGCTTCAGGGCTACCCTAGAGTCTAGACCTTGCCATAACAAATGACACATGGACTTATATGCCTTTTCGGAGACGTCAGAAGACGTGCAGAGTGTAGTCTGTGGCTTCAGTTGCAGCCTCAAGTGGCATGTAGGTTCGTGGCAGGGTGATGTCTGCCAGCCTGGGAAGTTCCCTCTCCAAGCTGGACCAAGCCTGATCGATGTCAAGAGGAAGGTTTGTGTCGTCCCAGCTCCTCTTCTTCACCCACAACTTCTGAACAAGCACTTTGGCCCTCGTAGTGTAGGGAATAATGACTCAGAGAGGTTCATATTGCCGGGCAAGCACCTTCTATATGTGGCGCATAGTGGGAGTCGCGTTCTCCATCGGCCTTGACCGGTAGCCAAGTCGATCAGTTGGACAGTGCCACAGCAAGCCCAGAGCTGGCTCTTGAGGGTCAGCGCTCTTCTCTGCTAGCCATAGCTCCGTACTCTCTGACCTGGCAGTGGATGGTAGATGGGAGACAACAGCAGTGATATGGCTTGCCCACTGCCGTATCTCAAAACCCCCTGAGGCTAGACATTGACGCATCTTGTCCACAAGGAGCTTTCAACACCTTCCAAGGTGTTGAAAGGCTCTGAAAACAATTGTCGACGTAGAACAACTGCTCTCCTGACGCAGGAGTACGCCGAGAAGGGATGGTCCAGGAAGGAGTTGCTCATTAAGTGAGGGGCCACGGCAAGTAAAGGAACAGTCAAAGACGATCCTTGCCATTGTGACGGACGAGGTGATGGGGGATGAACCAGGATTTGTGGGACTCATCCACTTCTTCTGTAGAAAGCTTGGTAACACACCCTCCATCAATGAGCTTTTGGATCTCTGCTTTGTGAACTTTGGCCTTAGCTGGGTCTTTAATGAGTATGCGCTCTGTGCTGCGAAGCATCGGCATAATCGTTTCAGGAGTGGCCTTTAAGGGTGGAACGTCCCTGACGCGGGGAAGAGGTGTAGCATACCTGAATAGATATATATATAGATATATAATAGAATAGAATATATGTATTGTCATCACACATCAGTAGGGATGTAACGATAAAAAGTCCACGGTACGATATTTATCGCGTTATTGAAAAATAAAGAAAAAAATGTGAATTTATTTTTATTTATTTTTTACTTTAATTTGTTTTTCTTCATTAAATAATAAATCTGATTCGTACAGCATTTTAGTAGAATAGTAGTATTTTAAAGTGTCAACAATATAATAATCAGACCCTGCATTAGAATACATCAAGTTTCACTTTAGTTTTTCAAGTAACTCAACTCTAACTCACTAACTCACTCACTCAGCATCATCAAGGTTATCTTTTAGGAATATGAGCATGTCCACATTTCCAGGTAGAAGCTGGGATGTTTGGGCGTTTACAATATCCCCTGCTGTGGTAAAAACTCTCTTGCTTGGTACTGATGTTGCTGGGACAGAGAGATATGCTTTGGCCATGGGTGACAGCAGTGGGTAAAACTGTGCATTGTCTCTCCACCACTTCAAAAACAATACAGTTTTTGCCAAGAAGGTGAGGCTTATTGACAGGGTGAGTTATAAATATACTGTTGGTACTTGTCTATGTCTCTAGGTATGTAAATGTAGCCCTGTAAATATGATGTCCTTTTGTGTTATATGTTGTTTTAAGTTAATGTTGTAACCTACTTGTTGCCATGTTCGACAGGTCTCCCTTGAAAAAGAGATCGATGATCTCAATGGGACCATCTGGTTAAATAAAGGTTTAAAAAAAAAAAACGGCGATATTTCGAATAACGTTACATCCCTACACATCAGTGTAACGAAATTCAGTGGCATCTTCTCACTGCAGTACATAAATAGAGACATACACATCCATATAAGAGCGCCAGTGACAAAGTCAGGTCAGAGTTAGTAGCAAGAGTCATGGTCAGGGTAGGTTCTCGATAACGGAATACATGGTAACCGGCGTTACGTAAAGCAGATACAAAAAATCAAGTACTGTATCCAGCGCGCGTTAAGATTTGAAAAACGAGTAATCTGATACAGTTAGTTCGTAACCTGAGTGAATACATTTTGGATACTTGTATTGAATTATTGGTGAAAGATTCCTCAGCAACATTTAATGCAGCATATATGAAAGGTACACAGAATCATCACAGCGCACAAACCTATACCGGGCCCGCAGATGGGACCAAAAATGGAGGCGGGTCCGCTCCAGTGAAACATAACACGAAACATCGAGATAACAAGTCTGCGTTTCATCAGGTGCGCTCGTGTGTGTGGTGTGTTGTGTGTGTGTGCGCTGTGTGTATACGTGTGATGGTGTGCGGTGTGTATGGATGCTGTGTGTCTGTGGTGTGTGTGTGTAGTGTAGTGGTGTGTGTGTGTGTGTGGTCGCCGCTACGCAAGACATAAATGTGGTTAACAACGACATCAGCCACAGCAAATACTTTGAAACAAATTTGTAATGATTCTGAAGGAGATAAAACACATTGAAGGCGGAGCGAAAAGCCGTTGAGTGAAAGGCACTGCGCGCAACTCTCAGAGGCTGATACCCTCCACAACCGTCGCCTGTCATATAAGAATATACACACACATAAGGCTGTGAGGCAGATACTGTGAGATAGACCAAACAACGAGAATTAAAAAACCATAAGGAGTCAAGGCAGACTGTGCACACAAAATGTTGCAATCCGGAAAACAAAAACAAACAAAACAAAAAAACAAAACATCCGCCCACGCCGCGGCGCGCCC